AAAAAAATTTAAATAATATATATATATATATATAAAAATCAAGTATTTAGGAAAAACAATTTATTGCATTACATGCTAATATTTCTGGCTGTCTTAATTTCAAGCATTAAGCCATTGGCCATTGGGAGCCCTTAAAGCTTCTCTTTTCTTTCATGAGAGTTTCTCATTAAAAGTTTGAGGAGATGGTTGCACATGTTGAGTTTCCAAAGGCATACTATAACGGCGGATAATGAGCTGCTCACGTGTAAATGAACACAGTGCTGCGCTTCACTCTAAAACATTCAGCCCATGTATTTATTTTATTAAACTGCAGCCTTTGCAATTTGATAAGCACATTAAGCCATATCTCGATCTTGATTTTATTTTCCATATTTTTATTTTTATTAATTGTATAGGCCTGATCAACAGTTGACTTTATTTGCCCACAACATTTTGCAGAAAGTTACTTTTAGTTACTTTCAGCTGATGTGATGTTGATCTTGTTATGAGATCTTTTCATTTATTCCTGAAGCAGGGAATCAACCTAATGAAACAATGTCAGTCAACAAATCAGCATCCAGTGCGTTCCTGAGACTAATCATCTGGACTTGATTGGATTACATGGCTTTTCCTGAACACAAGTTCACATGAGCCATAACTAATCAGAGGGGCCTCATAGAGCAACTCCATAAACACACACACACCCATATTCATACTCACTCTCTCTCTCTCTCTGTGTTTCTCAGATGTGGCGGTGCAGTTGCCGGATAAGAAGTCCATCATCATGTATGTGACCTCACTCTTTGCCGTGTTTCCCAATGACATCACGATGGATGACATCAAAGAGGTGGAGACGCTGCCCAGACGCTATAAGGTGGATCCGGATGAGGGACGTGCTGTAAGTGCGCTGGTTACCCAAACTCATTTATGCTTGCTCAGAGTAGAAGCTCAGTTAACCATCTCAGTGCCGAAACGGTCATATTCAAGAATTGGTTGGATTACATTGGTCTTGGTTCAGTTCTTGAGGATATTTTGGCCCTTCTGAAGATGTTTTGCGGCTTCTATTGTGTTTTGAAGGTAGTTTTCAGGGTGTCAATCAGGGCGATTGATGGAAAGGCCAGTTCACGCCAAGAACGATAACTATATTAGCATCCACATCAAAGCTCGATGTAATGGTCTGTTTATTGTAAGTGCACTACTGTTTTATTGTCTGCTGCTTTAAATGCTGGAGCTCTTTCAAGTCGGGTGGATTCTGATTGGCTGTCAATGTTTTCATTGTTCATCAGGTGGAAAGAAAGTGTTCTGAAAGTAAATCCAATGATGATATTCCACTGTGTCGTTATAGTTGTGGTGTGGACTTCACTATTCTTACTGAATTAGAATGATTATTAAAACTTATAGATATCGTTATCATACTTGTTGTGAGCGGCCCTTAATGCCATTATCAGGACCTAATTTTCACCTACAGAATAATTAGTCTTATTTATGTCTCTGATTGGCTGAAGAAGTTCTGTTGTTCCACGAGTAAAGGCCTGTTTACATCAAGATTAATATTTGGTGCGAACATTTGGTTCGGTTTCGGTTCAGACCGACATGAACATTTGCACGATATCAATGTGACTTTTTTTTTTTACAGAAAGGTTTTCTAATCTCTTGTACATTGCACTACAAATAAAACTGGCTAGCCAATAAGATTTGCGCTTTTGGTCACATGCCCAGAGCTGTTACGTAAAGCTATGTCTTGGTTTTGCTCATGAATGCAAATTGCACAAGAAGCTTGACTCTCAATTGATTTTCAACAGAGCATGGTATTAGCATGTTGCTAAGCTAACACTGTGATTCTCAAATAAGTATAAAAATACATGGTGCAGACAAATATTGGTTGAAATACTGCATTTGTAATTAGACTGAACTAGTTTTTAATCTATAATGTTTGGATCTTGGATTCATTTTTTTTTCTCCGTGAATGATACATGCTAATACTGATTTATAATTTAAAAACAAAAGCGTTTTATTTTTTATTTTTTATGAATCTATTATGCCTCAAAATGATGTCGAAATAGTCAGCTTACAAAATTTTGGAACGTATAATGTTAGTAGTGTTCATATAATAAAATATATTTCTAACAATGAAAATGTGCTGTGTCTGTCAGCTGAAAGCTGATGTTAGCAGACATGGTGCTTGTAGACATTAGCATAAATCCTCTTATTACTGAAACTGCTAGTGGCTGAACAACCTCAAACACGTTCATGCATCTGTCTTATGTCTTTATAAACTCAGGTTAATAGTGATGGTCCCAATGGCAAATGGGAAGTTTGAGTTTTAACAGATGGCTTCAGCTGTTCAGATGGGCATGTCATAATGAAGTGCTATACGCAGCAGACTTACAGATTTATTTAACACAGCCACTTGCTTATTCAGCCCACTGTGAACACTAGAGGAAATCATGACTTCATGCAGACGTAGGTGCATCTTTTCATCAAATATGAGTAGAGAAATGCATGACGGGATTTCTTGCTCAGAAAATGCATGATGCAAAAAATGCAATGGCAGTTAAAAAGAGGTTGTTGTTATTCTGGTGTTCTTTGATGAGGAACTGCCTGTGGAAAATAGGCATCGCACTCTAGTGCCAATAAATGACTTCACTTCTACCAGTTTCCTTTTCTCTCTCTCTCTCTCTCTCTCTCTCTGCCTTATGCTTTCAGTGGTAAGAGTGAGTCATACAGTTGTGCAGTATATATATATAGTGCTATATTGTACACACACGCAGCCAGAGATGGGTGGATTTTCTCTGATAATTTTCTTGCATAGCTGTGTACAAATGGTGTAAAAAAGGAGCATGGTATTGCCATGGTTATACCGTAGTAATACTTGAAGTATGTTTACCTTGGAGTTACATGCAAATACTGTGGTGCATGAATATGATAAGTTCCAATGGTACAGTCATGGGATCAGGTTGCAGTACCGCGGTGCTGAAATTCACTTAACATAGCATTTACAAGGCACTCCAAAATATTTCTAAAACTACCATGCAAGTGCTATAGTCCAAAAACATGGTAGTACCATGATACTGTACATTGCTTTTGTGTAATATTACATTACCATGGTCAAAACTTGGCCGCACTTAACTGAATTTGTCACATGATCATTGATCTAAAAAGCAACAATACATATGAACTCATGTGAATTGTGCACAGAGATGCTCAGAAAACATGTTTTAGTCACATGTCATATACTTGTGTTTCTGTTATTTCATAGTTTTGATGTCTTGTTTACATTGTTCCAAAATGTGTAATGTGAAAAACAGTAATAAAGGATGAGTCGATGTGTGCAAACTTTTAACCTGTAGTTTATGTTAGTGGCCGACCGATATATCGGCCGATATTTGGAATTCTTTAAATATCTGCATCGACCGATAAGTCTTTCCGTGTGGCCGATGTTTTTCAAAACGAATTATGACACCATATCGTGCATTTATGCTTAAGACAAGCCACTCAGATGTGAAGCCAACATCATACAGACAGTAAAATGACCAAACCCTTATTCACTTTCTAACGTGACGCAAACACTCCGGCGTGCAGCAAAGTCTTATTCAAACGTACCATGAGACATTGGATCCGCAGTCCAGCGGCAGCTCCGGTGGGAGACACAGATGTGATATGAACGAATTCAAACAAAAATGAAACCGTGTTTACCTCAAAAATGATCAAAAATCCCGCGACTGGCTCTTCCTCAGATATGCACACTGTTCTCGGGTACTTCTAAACAAGATGCTGTTTTCCGGTGGACTCAAAAGCCGGTGCACTGCAGAATTAATTTATTATTAACCAACTATTCCAAACTATAATTAAAACAACCTGTTGCTCTGTAAACTAACTATATATGTAAATATATTTTCTGCATGCCTCATTTACTGTAATTACATGCATTATATGGCCAATCGGCCAGATTGATTTTTCAATATCCGCATCAGCATCGGCCATTAAAAATCCCATATCGGTCGACCACTAGTTTATATTAAAATACCTTGGTATTATCCTCTGATAACATTACTGTACCGTGGCACACTCACAGTGCATTAGCTTTGGGTAGTTTATTGTATAGACTGAGAGTTAATTAAATATAATTTAATTTAATTTAATTTAATAGCATGTTTCAGAGCAAAGTGTAACACTGTGTTCATTTACACATGAGCAGCCAAAATAAAAAAAAGCTTGATGGTTTAATTTTTGAAAATTAGACATAAATATTAGTATTTTTTTATTTTTTTTTACAGTTGTACGTACCGAGAACCGTGGATTTTCACTGGTATCGGTACCGAATACTGAAATTTTGGTACCGTGACAACACTACTGTAAAATACAATTATCATATTTTTTTCTTAAATATTTATTGTTTTTATTTTGCAGTGAAAAATTGTGGTGGTAATATTTCTTATTTTGTTTAATATTTTTATATTTAATTATTATTATTATTATTATTATTATTCTATAGTCATATTGATATGTAATAACCAACTTTTTGGTCATATTGTGCTGCCCTAAAAACAAGCACAGCAAACCTCAAGCTTTTTTTACATCAGAAATCATAATTGCAATTTTTGTCAGAAAATTCACAATTGTATTTTTCCCCAAATCGTGCAGCCCTAGTTTTGCTCTCTGTACATATGTAGCAATGTTATAGTTTGATTCTCATGTATTTTCTGAGCTGAAAACGTGAAATATCAATTTGCTGTTCAGATATGACCATTGCAGTCTTGGGAATTTCTCATCAGCTGCACCTGTGCATGAATACCAATGCATGTCTTGACAGGTTACAGTAATTGTTGACCTTTAATGCCTTTAATAACCAAACGAGCTGCTTGGTTGTCACTCTCAAAACTTTTCAGCATGTGTTCCTGAAAACAGTCATTTGTGGAATCAGATCCACAGTAGTTAAAGTTCTCAGGATTACCGTCCTGAATGGAGTGTGGTGATCTGTGCAGTGTTCACTGATGCTCATTTCTCATTGGCTGCTGTATGTAGGCATCTGCTGGGATGTTGTGGGGCATTTGGGTGGTTCTGCATTTGTCAGACCACAAATATTTTGCTTATAGCTTATTCCAGCATTGCTTCACCGCCCTCCAAGCACACACAGTTTTACAGTCAAGCAGAAAGAATAGTGTTTTATCCAGCATGTGGGACAGAGTAGGGAAATCCAGCAGAATATTTTCATCAGATGACCTTTTCCTCCAGATGAGAGCTGTTCTCTGTGCATTTATTCAAGGAACAAAGCCTTGTTTTAGGACTCAGCTGCTACTATTAACAGAGTTTAAATGTCCTTTCTCTGTGAGAGCTCTGTTAAAATGAGATCCAGTCTTTATTATATATTAGTCTAATAATATTCGGTCTCACCTGTCAGTGTTTTCTGCAAACAGCCCTAAATGAAAATGTCATGAGTTGATGATTGTTCAAGTCACTATTTAACTTTTTTTTTTTTCTCTCACCAACAGAAAAGTACCAAAAAATAAACTATGCTTTTGCTCTGTTATGACCAAATTGTGACTATTATGGCAATGACATGCTTTTTTTTTCTTATATCTGGTGAAACCACCTATTTGTATCTAACTTGTACAATAGCAATAGCATGTTTTGTTTGGGTGTGGCACCATGTTCGATGTTCAATACCATGTTCTTGACATCTATCATTACAATTACATGCTTATTTTAAATTGCACATTGTTAATACCATGTTTTTTTGAGTTGTGCTATGGAAATACCACGTTTTTTTAAATATATGATACCATGGTAATACCATATTATTGACATCTGTCATGACAATGGCATTCTTTTTGTACTTTCACTATGGTAATACCATGTTTTTAAACTTGTACAGTAGCAATACCACGTTTTTTGGATATGGTACCATGGTAGTACAATGATCTTGATATCTATCATGACAATGACATGCTTTTAAAAAAAATGCACCATTGTAATACCATGTTTTTTTCACTTAAACTATGGCAATAGCATGTAGTTTTGGTTCTGGTACCATGGTAATACCATGTTTTTTGGATCTGGTTCCATGGCAATACCATGTTTTTTTTGTTTTACTTCTATGGTGTTTTTTTTTTAAATCTGGTACCATGGTAATACCATGTTCTTGACGTTTGCCATGGCAAGGTTTTTTTTTCCTTTCTTTTTTTTTACTTGCACCTTGGTAATACCATGCATTTTCACTCAGTCATTCTTGAGACGTGGGACAAAACAGGTCCAGCAAGGGTAACTGCTATTAGGTTTAAAAATAAAAATATTTTAAATTTTAAATGTCATGAGGGATTAATAATAGAATGTATTTAACACAATTATCACCTTCAATTTAATTTTCTCATTATTATACCAAATCTGTGTTTCTTAATGTCCTCTCACTACATCTAAAACAGTGTGTCCACAGAGGGGTTCAAGCATTCATATGCAATAAACTGGATAAAAATGTTTTTTTTTTAATGATGAAAAAGAGCTTGTTGTTGTGGAATTGTCGGTCACATGTGAAAGTGTAATCTGTCTGCTAACACGAGAATGTGTTTTGAAATGTTAAAAACATCTTGAATGCTGTTAAAGATAAAGCTGAAATTATATTACACAGTCCAAGCTAAAAAAGCACATTTTGTTAAAAAAGAGAAAAGTTGGGAGGTTGTATCAAAGCATAGCTCAGTAGCTCAGTACATATAAGATGCATAAATGTAGTTTCATTCGTCTGAGTACAAGGTTTTATTTTTTCAATTTTGCACCCTGTTTTGTCCCACTTCTCAAGAATGACTGGCAATAGCATGTTTTTTTGGATCTTGCACCATGGTAATACCATGTTCTTGGCATCTATCATGACAATGCCATGCTTTTTATACCTGCATTATGGTAATACCATGTTTTTTGGATACGTTACTATAGTACTAGCATGTTGTTGACATTGTCTACTGTGAAGTTCATGTCGTACTCCCTAGGGCAGTGGTGCCTTTGTATTCGAGTTATCAGTCTAAGCTTCCTTCTGTTGTCGTTATTTTGTATCTCTCTTTTGATGCACTTTTAAGGTTTTTCCCAGAGTTCTCGGGTGTGGTGCTTTTTGGTTCCCCGATGTAAGATTGCAGATCAGACGGGTTAATTACCTGTTTCTGTGTCTTTATTATACAGCACAATGAAGAAAAACCTGCTTCTTTTACCATCAGACTCACAACAATTAGCGGTCGATTAGTGTTTCACTCTTATCAATGAGCTGTGACATTTCCGTCATGGGCGTGCTGAGGAATGTAGGTCGCCAGATTTAGAAAAGCCGTCAGTTTTTAAAGGCGTGGGACATAAACATCTGAGAATGTGAATGATATCACATGACCGGCCCTGTTGTGCTGTTAGCCGGTGTTTAGTCAGCGGAGAACACGTGCCAATAGCAGTATCGTCTGCGTCAGAAAGTCCTGCTGATCGTGCAGTGCTTCTTGTTTTGAGTGTGCGGCTCAGACCCTTCACTGATGGCTTTTTCCATAAGTCCTTTTCCTATGGGTCTTTGAAAAGAAAGGACTAGTTTGTAAATTAGCTTTACATGGGATTTTCCATGATAGCATGCTAGGCCAGCTCACAGCAGATGCACAGTGAATCTCAGGAAACACGTCCAGGTCAACATTCAGTCCAAAATCAAAACAAACATAATGAAAATGAACTCCGCTTTAACCATTTAAGATGTTTTTAACCTTTTTCAGGGCTATTAAGCATATTTCAAACCCCAAATTCTCATTACCATGATGCTGTTAATTTTAGTTAATTAGTAAAGTTAATTTTTAATTAATCTTCAAAATAATCTACTTAAAAATATAATACCTTTGCAAATAAAATACCTAATATTCATTCATAAAAGAATCCTGAAAAACAAAATGTATCACAGTTTCCACAAAAATAAGAAGCATCATAACTGTTTTCATAACAACCGTAATGGTTCTTCAGCAGAAAATCAGCATATTAGAATGATTTCTGAAGGATCAGGAAAATATTTTTATGGAAACCGCAATATTTATTTTTAATATAAGTCGGATATATTTTTTGTGTGTGTATTTTTTCCCCCGTGTTTGCTTTTTTTTAACACATATTTCTTCCCTCTTTCACAGTTTTTTTTGTAAATGTAACAATTTGTCAGTTCGAGGAGTGTCAACAGAACCTGTAGTTAAAATGTGGTTAAAAAAAAGAAAATTTAGCACATACAAGGATGCTGTGACGTAGGGCTGCACGATTAATCGAATGTGATTGTCATGCGCATTTTGTTAGTAAAGCCGGATCTGTAATCAGCAGGAAATCATCATCACGTGCTTTCAGATGGAGCAGCATTTACTACACATAGCCGTAGTTCACTGACAAGTTACGCAAAAAAATCGCAGACGATTTTATTGCGCGAATATGAAATCGAAGAAATCGTTCGCGATAATGACAGCTGTTTGCATAGCTTCTCGGTGAACTACGGCTCTGTGAAGTAAATGCTGCTCCACCTGAAAGCATGTGAAAATACCACATTTAATAACATATTTTTAGTCCAAACTCACTTCATAACGTCAGTCGAGTGTTTGAAATAAATCCTTCTGTGAGATGATGTGGCTTCTTACACAGAATAAGGCACGCAACATATTTCATAGTATTTAAGCAGTGATAAAGGCATTGCATTATAAATATACTTTATTTTAATGAAAATTATAATAATAAATACTCAGATAAACCGTATATTGCCGTAGTCGTGTGTTTATTAGTCACGTTGAATCAATGAAAGCAGTTGAATCTTCTGTTTATTCAGCTGCAGCAATAGGCATTTCCGGGGTTTCTTCTGCGGGGCGTATTTGGAGTTTCAGCGCGAGAGCGCCCTCTAGCCTTTGGATGGAGATTTACTGCTGATCACAGAACCGCGCTTCACTGAAAGATACGCATGACAATCAGCTTCTGTCAAATCGCGATCTCGATTCCATTTCGATTTATCGTGCAGCCCTACTGTGACGTATAACGTGTCAGACTGAAGTCATTGGTCCTTTGTGAATTTGCGTTTTGAACATGAGCGCAAACATGTTTAACTACTCTTCATAAAACACATAGTGCTTAACGTTTGCTATAAGGTTATATAGCATACTGAGATGCCGTTAGCTGAAGCACTGTGTGTTTCTGTGCAGGGGTTGGCTGCAGAGACGGAGGAGGTGAGCAGCACACGGCCAGAGACGCCCAGCATGCTGACGGAGGTCAGTCTGGACACGTATCAGATCACTCTGGAGGAGGTGCTCACCTGGCTGCTGTCGGCCGAAGACATGCTGCACATGCAGGACGACGTGTCCGACGACGTGGAGGAGGTCAAAGACCAGTTCCACACACATGAGGTAGAGGAGATGCACAACAACAGTTCACAAACACTGCTAGTGTCATCGCTAGCTAGTAGTATATTTCATCTAATTTCTCAGGAAAAAGTATACCGATATAACATTAAAGGGCTCGACATTACCGCTTGTCCGGGACAAGTGAATGTTTTGGACGGGCAAGTGAAAGAGAAATTTACTTGCCCAATTGGACAAGTAACTTGAAAATGTCAATACCAAAAACAGTAATAGCTGCCTTTATTTGTGATATAGCCTTTGTTATAGGGGTGTGTGATATATATCGTTTGCGATAATATCGTAATTGTTGTTTTAACGGTGTGCGATTTGACATTATCGAGAATATTGCAAAAATCAAACAAAACACACCTACAGAGTGCATGCATACATTAGGCCTACGTAAAGAGTTCTAGTAGGTTAGACTAGTGCATGTGCGCGTTCTTTCACTGCATGATTCAGTATTAAAATGCATGAAGAATGATCAGAAAATTCAAGATATGGGGGCAGAAAATGTATATATTTATATAATTTCATATAGTTAAACAATATCACACGAAGATCGAGCACCGTTTTTTTGCTCCAAAAATCTGCATGATTACAAATGTGATTTTAGACAACAGTTCAATAAACAAGAAGTTAATGTTAAGAGACTTGCATTTTCGACAGCATATTGCCTGTTTTTTGTTCTATTTCACCAACAGAAATAATTCACTGTTTTGTGTCTCTGAGCAACATGACTGTGTTTCATTCCTGAATGAATCAACTGTTTGAATGATTCGATTCAATCGCAATGACTCACTTATTAACTGTGAATTGCTGCCACCTACTGGCCGTTTTAATTTCACATTTAAAGTATTTATTTTATTTTTTTTTAAGCTAAATAAACTAAATGTGACATGCTCACAAAATCTACTACATATACTCTATAAACACTATACTATGTTTTGTATAACTACAATAAATAATTATATTTATAACTCAATTTAAATGTATTTTTTTCTGTCCGGGCAAGTAACTTTTATACTCCGAAGGACAACCACATGAGAATGCTTAATGTCAAGCCCTGCATTCCTAATGTGTACAAAAAAGACAAACTAGATGGGAAAAGTTTGTAAAAAGTTTAAACAAACTTTCATGTTGGCTTGACAGAACCTTGTTTGAATGTTTGAAATAAGCTTGAAAAGCTTGAAGTATGACGATTTTACTCAAATCAGAGGCAGTAAATTGTTATTAATATTTTCTAACATATTACTGAAATGTTTAAGTTACTAACAAGATTTAACATGCTGTTAACGTGTGTTAGCACACTGCTAACATGTTTTATCATGTTGCTAACATGTTTTAACACCTTGTTAGCATATTTTAACACATGATTTATAGCATGATTCAGAATGCTGCTAGCATGATTTAATGGGGCTAGCATTATTAACATGTTGTTACCATGTTTTAACATGTCAACATGTTGTTAATATGTTTTAACACATTGATAGCATGAATTAGCACATTGCTAGCATGTTTTAGAATGTTGCTAGCATGATTAAACACATTGTCCTAGGATAGTCGTTAAGCTTTGCTAGTGATTGACAACTGAAATACACTATAGGTCTTATTGTACAAAAGTTTTGATCCCCTCAGTGAAAACTTATGGGGTTTTTCGTAGTTTTGATCATCCGGGTTATGAAAACCGTAAGTCAGATCAGTTAAAGATATTGCATCCTAAGAAGAAGCAGCAGCTTAAATAGGATTGCAGTATGTTGGATTTGTCTTGATCCCGCCCACCGCTGCTCTTTCTGATTGACCCGAGGACTTTAAGTGTTAGCATGTCCCGTGCTCAGATGCTCCGTGTTCCCGTCCTGTCGGAGAACATGCTCGGATCATGCCAGGAATGTGAGGAATTCTGTGAGGCAGAGAGTCCTCTGACAGACCGCAGAGCCGGGGCACATAAACTCACTCCTGAGTGATGGATCCAGAGCGGGAGGGTGAGGTTTACATTCCTGTCAGAAAGTGAAGGCTAATATGAGGCAGTGACGCAGAAACAAAAGCAAGGCAAATACAGGAAAGCTGTGGAGATCCTCCAAGCAATGGGCTTTTCCTGAAGCATAAACCTGTTTGTCTCTGCACTCTGGTTCCACTTGAACCATCAGACATTTAGATAATGTGCAAATGGTTTGTTACCTCATTCCTTTTTGATCGTTTTTTCTGTTTCGAGAATAGATCATAAGATATTGTGTGAATGAGTGGCGCATTTTCGTCTACTACACATACTCAAGCACTAACTGACGTGTCGTCTTGTCTCCTCAGGCCTTTATGATGGAATTGACAGCCCACCAGAGCAGCGTGGGTAACGTCTTACAGGCGGGAAACCAGCTGATCGCTCAAGGCAACCTGGCTGAAGTCTTGTTTGAAGAGTGTGCTTGAATTTGTCATCTCTCCTCTGTCTTCAGACTTCATGAAGTTCTCATGGACCTTCAGCAACAGCAGCTACAGCAGCTCTCCGATTGGCTGACGCAGACGGAGGGGCGGATCCGTAAGATGGAGAAAGAGCCAATAGCAGGAGACCTGGAGGGATATCTGGCCCAGATAGAGCAGCACAAAGTAAGAGGAGCATTCGATTTCTCTATTTAAAGTAGGACTGGGTATCGCCAGCTATGTTATGGTGTGTCATGGTATGTTGCAATGCATCACAAAACGATACACTGTAAAAAATGCTGCGTTTATGGAATAGTTCAAGCAAAAATTAAAATTTGCTGAAAATGTCCTCACCCTCAGACCATTCAAGATGTAGATGAGTTTGTTTATTAATTTGGAGAAATGTAGCTTTGCATTAGTGTCTCAGCAATGGATGCTCTGCAGTGAATGGGTGCCGTCAGAATTGAGAGTCCAAACAGCTGATAAAACCATCACCATAATCCACAAGTAATCCACACCACTCCAGTCCATCAGTTAACATCTTATTAAGAGAAAAGATGCGTGTTTATAAGAAACAAATCCACCATTGAGATGTTTTAACTTTAATCTGTCACTTCTGGCCAAAATATGAATCCATAATAACTCTTCCTCCAGTAAAAAGTCCATCCCCTGTTGTCCTCTCACATCAAAATCCACTGACATATTTGTTCAGATCTTTTTCAGACTGTTTTGGCTTGTAAACCGTGCTTGATATGTGCAGATTTCTCTCCTGATTCAGACGAACTGACTTTTTCACTGGAGAAAGTAATATTATGGATAGAGGACTTGTATTTTAGTCAAAAGCAATGGTTTGAAGTTAATGTCTTAATGATGGATTTATTTCTTACAAACACGCAGCCTTTCACTTCTCAAGATGTTAACTGATGGTCTGGAGTGGTGTGGATTACTTGTGGATTATTGTGATGTTTTTATCAGCTGTTTGGACTCTCATTCTGACGGCACCCATTCACTGCAGAGGATCCACTGATGAGCAAGTGATGCAATGCTACATTTCTCTAAATCTGATGAAGAAACAAACTCTTCTACATCTTGGATGGCCTTAAGGTGAGTAAATATTTAGCCAATTTTCATTTTCGAGTGAGCTATTTCATCAAAAACAAACTAAACTGAGTAATTTTGGCAACCCAGAGCTTGGTCACAAAGGGATGAACCCAGCTCTGGGTTGTTTTGATCCAGCTGTAAATCTTGCTGGCTTAAAATGAACCCAAAATGAGTTGTAAATTAAAATCACACACAGAATGACTACAATACAGAACACAGTCAACAGTAATAATCAAAAGGTGAAACGCATAGGCAAAGTGGTATCAGCACACATGTAACTGTTAGAATTTGAACTTGTGTGATGTGTAATGCTCTATTTCACGTCTGCATTTCCAGCCCAGCACATGTTGGGTTATGGATTATGAATGATTATCAACCCAGCTTCCTTTCCCAACAGTTTCAATCAAGCATTTTTAGAGTGACTTGATAACAATTGATAGATTGTAGATTAGAAAAAAAAATAGATTGAAGATTGTAGAAAAAGATTACGAAACATTAAGAAAGATTAGCAAACATTAAAAGAAAATTAAGAGACAAAGTGTATACTTTGATAATCTCTCCTGAAAAAGCAATCTCTGAGCAATAAAACGTTCCTAAGGAGACTTGAGTAGTTAATGAATGACTCTTATCAGAGATCCCGTCTGTGTGCATAACCTGTTCACAAATAAAAGCTTTCTCTTTCTGATCTCCAATGTGAATTTATCATGAATGCTGAGAGAGAGAGAGAGAGAGAGAGAGAGAGAGAGGTTGAGTTGTGAGAAGAATGAATAAGCAAATCAACACACGCCCCGGTGAATGAGGGGCAAACATGACCTCAGCGTGTTTGTTCAGGTAGCGAATAGAGAACACACACACACATTCGCTCCCACACACCGTGACACACGGTCAGTCTAACAGGAAAGGTATCGGATCACACTAGTGCTTCCACATTTTTTATGTACACTTTAATACTTGACACAGTGAGTCAAAAAAATATCCGCCCTAAATTCTACTACATCAAGCTTATTCGGAGAAACCTGTTAAAAACATGCCTTGGTCAGATTTGACCCAAAATGAAAAGAAAGGTATTAGAAATGATATCTAGCTTTAACAAAATAAAACCAATATTTTGAACTACATGTAATAAACATTTTTGCATTATGATATTATTTTCATGTTTCCAGCTTCCAGTTCTGTTTAGTTCCTGGAGTATAAATAAATGAATAAATAAATCAATAGAAATAAAAACATAAAAATAAATAAATAAATTAATAAATAGATAAATATGTAAACAAAATCACCGTCATAATAATTGCAGTGTGAAAAAAATAAAATAAAATAGAATTCAAAAAAATATATTACTATAATTTCAAATAATAATATAGTGATTGGTGATTTTGTGATATCTTGCCTTAATAAATGTGCATTTCCTCTTTTGTGGGTAAATTAAGAAACTTGAAATGTAATCAAATTGTACTTTAGACCTTTTGACCTTTTTATGTCCTCAGGTTTTGCAGAATGATCTGGAGCTAGAACAGGTAAAGGTGAACTCTCTCACGCACATGGTTGTGGTCGTGGATGAGAACAGCGGGGAGAGTGCCACTGCTGACCTGGAGGAACAACTGCAGGTAGAGGACAACATGCACGATATAATGCTGATTTACTTTTATTTGTTGTGGCGAAATTACTGTAATTATGAGATGGCAATTCAGAGAGTCTGGTCAGAGCTGTTTTTGTCCCCAGACATACAAATTATAGAAATCATTTGTTTCTTTGCTAAAAATTATTTTTAAAATGTCAGCTAGTGTTTCTTAAGGACTCATTTTTTATTCATTAATCATTAATTCATATTATATTCAAATGAATTGTTCATTCCTGCTGTCTTTAAGGAAATCTTCAAATACTACTGCTTTAACAAGAAAATGCATTATGGTATCTGTACCAATGTGCAATATTGTTTGACTAGAGATATAGAGATCAAGGTGAATGTTACATTAAAGAATGAATTTTACAGTAAATTTCTTCTTACCTAAAGTGCAGAGGTAATCAAACCAAGCTGTTTTCCATGCCTTTACTGATAGCTCCTCTAAGGAATGAGATCTATTAATGTTGGATAAAGTGTTGAGAATTCATTGGATGCAGCACAGCAAGAAACTTGGAACTGAACAGACATTTGACACTCCCAGCAGCCATAAAAGCATGTGAAAAGTCATTCAGTGAATAACTTTCTCTCTTTTGCTTTTCCTTCTGTTCTTTACAGTCACTGGGGGAGCGCTGGGCGGCAGTGTGTCGCTGGACGGAGGAACACTGGAACAAACTCGAGGAAATTCAGCTTGTGTGGCAGCGGCTGCTTGATGACCAGGTGAGACCTGATGCCGAAAATCCAACATTCCCATGTAGCAAATCACAAAATTGATAATGAGGCCCTTATAGGCATGTTTGCAAATAATTGTTTCTGGACTTTGTTAAATGTTTTCAAGTTTGGAAATTGAAACAGAAAAAAAAATGTTTTCATGATCAGTCATTTCTATAATGTTTGATACTTAAATATGTTTGTTTTTGCCCATCCATACATTAATTTCAATCCAGCACAAACCTGATGTTACTACAGCTGCTGGCCAAAAAATAATCAGGGGTGTGCCTCAGGGCTCTGTGTTGGGCCTCATTGTGTTCTGCTCGTATCTCAGACTTGGAATGTTCATTTAATACATTTAAGGGTCAGATTGCTATTTTAACAGTTTAGACTGCATTCTGGGAAAGGGTGAGATTGAATTATGGTGGTTTATGACCTGCAGACACCATTACCACTGACCCATTACATCATCAGCATAGAGTGCACACAATCTTATTCTCACACTTCCCCCATCTAGACCACTTCCGTCAGTCTGCAGACTGAACTGTGATGCAAATCAATGGATATTGTCTATGATATTACATTAAATTAATGTTTTTATGCCAAAGTACCGCGTAAGGGTGGGTAGTATGATTATTTTCTCTTTTTATTTGGAGCAATATATGAATGATGATGCATTTTTGCTATTGGAAAATCAACTTTCTTCTCATCCTTTCAGAGTTTGTTTGGATCGTGGCTAGCAGAAAAGGAGAAGACCTTGAGTGAAGTTCAGACCAGTGATTTTAAAGACCCTAGTGAAATAAATGCCAGCGTGCGCAGTTTAGCCGTGAGTAGACAAACATACATAATTTTGTATTTGCAAGTTTTAATTACATGCCCATAATATAGGATATTTTTAAATAAATAATCAATGTTACGAGAACATAAAGCATTATAATCATGTTCAGATCATCTCACAAAATATCTTCTAGTCCACAGATACTACTACTTTTATTATTATTATTTTTTTAAGATTGTACGCTTAGGTTTTACAAATAATAAACATTATTCAACCGAAATCTGCCTGGTTGATAAGAGCATCTCTGTTTTGGCCTTTGACTCTTTGCAGAATCTCAAGGAGGATATGGCCCAGAAGCGGAGGGCCCTGAGTGCTCTGTCAGATGCTGGACAGGATGTGATGGTGCTGTTAAACAGTCCAGCCGCAGCTCAGAGGATCGAAACAGACACAGACCTACTGACCCAACGCTGGGACAACCTGGTCCAAAAACTAGAGGACTGCTCCAGCCAAGTCAGATAAATGCGTCTCACTTGTTTATATTACTACACATTAGCTTTTTATATGACATTGATTCCAAGCGTCTGTTCGGTTTCCAGGTAACCGAAGCGGTGTCTGGGATACCCCAGGTACCGGAGAAGGTTGTCATGGAGACAGTCACAACAGTAACAACACGGATGGAGCAAACCTTCACCAGCAGCGATCGAGAGCTACCGCCACCTGCCCCACCTAAAAGACGACATCTGGATACAGACGGCGAGCTCAGGATACTGTACGACAAACACAAACACACAGCTTCCTTGTCAGAAACCCCAGAAATCTCTTTTACCAGTCCCTTTGACATCTTGTGATTTTCATCGAACTCTGCACTATTTGCTTGCATTTTTGCAGATTTTCACAAAAAAATGTTAACCTGAGAGGGGGCAAAGCAACATTAGCATAATGCCAAGCCCAAACTAATTATTCAATGTGTTCAGCTGTCCTGCCACTTGATTGTGGTGAATTCCGTTGTAACCATATAAAAGTGTTTAAATGTAAGGAAAAGTTCCAATATGAGGCAGGCCTGTTTGAGCGATGTGGAGGTTAATATCTAATATTTCCGAGTGATCTCTCCAAATGATTCATTCATGACTTACATTAGTCTATTGTCTTTAAAACCTATTCACTCCTAAAAGATGCCAAAGATAGATGCAGCTGCACAAGTGATCCAACGCTTTGCTTATGCTTGTGTTAGGCACGTAGGAAAAATGAAAATTTCTAGAGGTTTAATGCTACTGCATATAATAATGAATATAATGTATGTGATTTCACCAGTAGGTTAGAATTAAATAAGTACAGTATTTTACTGGATATGCACTTTTTAAAATATTTTAAGTGAATGCAATCACTGATAATACTATTTTAATTTGTGTAAAAAAATTAAGTAAAAAAAAAAAACATTTGAGAAAAGCCACAGCAAATTCAATCATTTTAGGCTGCAAAATATAGAAGTAAAAAAGTGCTCTACAGAAATATCAAAGATTGTCTGTCATACCTAAAAGTGTTTTTTTGACAATTAAAATTTCACATTTTAAGCATTAGGGATTAGCAGCTGTTTGAGCAAAAATGTCATGAAATTGTTTCTTTCATCATGAGGTTATGCCTGTGTTCATAACGAGCACATTTGGGAACCATTAGCATAAGATATACAGTGTTTACACACACTTCACACACTGCTCTGTTGTTCTGCTCTACTGTAGCACTCCCTCATGTGAACCCTGATATGATGTGTTTGTGTTTTTTAGAGCTGAAACTGATGTTCCCAAGCTTTTGTCACGGCTGGCTGCATGGAAGTCATCTGCCCGAGCTGCTGGAGACACGCCTGGTCTGAAGGAAAAACTACAGGTGACTTATTATAACACTAACATTTGCCTATTCATATATTTGGTCTACTGAATATTTTTGTCCCGTCTCTGTAGACCCTGCGGGTGGAGCTTGCTGAAAACGAGGGGGCAGTGAAAGAGGTAGTGCAGAAAGGAGAGAAGATGATTGAGAAAGGTAGGAGAATGTGGATGATTTCCTCAAGATGAATGATGGTGCCTGTTTTCTCCTACTGATTAAAATCACTCAATCTGTCTTTATAGAAGGTATGTCTTCAGAGGAGGCCCGTTCTGCTCTGGACTTTGTGTGTAAAGAATGGGAGAGCTGCCAGAACCTGATCCAGGATCTGAGGAACCGAGCTCAAGTTCTAGAGCAGGTGGCGGCGGTTCAGTCAAGACTGAAGGCTCTAGATGGAGTTCTGCAGGAACAGGAGAAATGGCTGATCTCCACAGAAGGCTTTAGAGCAAAAAACAACCAGCAGGAACTCCAGACACTCAAAGACGATTGTGAGGTCAGTCAAATACCAGGCCATTTTATACAAGATAATTTCCTTAAATTAGATGTTAACAGGAATCTAACTGTCCACCAGGGCTGTACGTTAACTTTTTTTTCACGTAGCATTGGTGCTACAGAGGTTGAAAGTTTTGTAGCACAGGCCAAAAAGTTGTAGCACAAGTATAAAATGTCTGTTATCATGTCTGAAAACAAACACAAGTAATGGAGTTCATCACTTAAACAGGCACTGATGTTCCATACAGAGTACAAAAAATACAAACCATCACAAAAATTTTAAACAAAGTTTTCTTAATTTGCTAGAAATGGAAGAGTGCAGAAACATAACACCTCTTACACCTTAACAAAATATAAAATAAAAAAAACAATGGCAGACATTTAGGCAAAGCTAGCAAAGATAAAAATCTTTGTCATTATTTTATCTTTGTTATTAGAAAATAAGAAAATTTTTCAGGTACAGTATTTAGCAGTATTTACAACATTTTATTTTTCAGGTACAGTATTTAGCAGTAGCATTCAAGAAATTGAATGAACAAATATTAAAATAAAACACTATATACATCAATTATACTTTTTTTAAAGCAACTGACTGATGATAAGTTCATCAGTCAAGAGCAGTGAGTGATTTTTTTTCTGTGTTTTGTTGTTTTACTAACATTAAAAGATCATCTGTCTTTCAATAGCGTTTCATTTTTATACCATCATTTACTCAAGTTGTTTTAAACCTGAATTAATTTATTTCGTCTGTTCGCACGTGTTCTACAGTGGTAAATTTATTCATCGCACAGACCAGTTTTTTCGTAGCACGTGCGACATATATGTCAGCCCTGCTGTCCACACTTAAAAATAAAAGTTCTTTATTGGCATTGATGGTTCCATGAAGAACCGTCAACATCAATAGAACTTTCCATTGCACAAAATAGTGAAATAAAGTTCTTCATACTATTCAAATGATGTTCACGCTAAGAAAAAATGTTTATTTTAAGAACTGATCACTGAAGGTTCTTTGGGGAACCAGTTCTCTAGAACAGTTCTCAAAAGAACCATCTTTTCTTTAGAACACTTTAATGATCTAAAGAACCTTTTGTGGAATGCAAAGTTTCCATGGATGCTCTTTCATGAAAAGTTCTTCATGAAACCCATTGATGCCAACAAAGAACCTTTATATTTAAGATTGTAGTAACATGCTAAAAACCACTCAGAATGCCTTATGTTTTTGCTGAGTTGTTAATAGAGCAAATGTGTACTGTATTTGTGTTTCAGGCTCGGATAGCAGATCTGGAAAAGCTTCAGCCGCAGGTGGAAGATCTCTGTTCTCAGACGGAGCGTCTGGCCGCAGAACCTGGAGCCCCTGATACCATGAGGCCCAGTGTGGCGGCGCTGGCATCACGCCACAGCACAACTATTCAAGAGTTCAAGATGCGGCAGCAGGACATCACTATAGGTATACATTGCCAAATTACAGCCCTTACACTACGCTCTCATAGCATTTAAACAATGTCGCTCCAGCCTGCAATTTGAGGGAACTTGGGATTTTGCAAATTGGTAGTTGAGCTTTTCTTTCTAAGCTACAAATATAGAGAAATGAAATCGCTTCTGGAGAAAGAACAACATTCTTACGGGATAGTTAAGGCAGCAATGTCATTGCTTATTCACCCTCATGTCATTCCAATGCATATGACTTTGTTCATTCTTTCGAACACAAAAGGAGAAATTTTGAAGGATGTCCAACCTGCTCTTTCCATACTATAAAATAGAGTGTAACTGGTTCTGTCAAGCTCCAAAAATGACAAAAAAGTACCATAAAAGTTTATGCGAGCTGTCCGTTAGGCAGCATACAGACTGAAATGCTACCTCGCAAGTTTATAAACCTCATAAAAACTCTCTACATAAGTAATAACGCCACACAAATGACATAGGAGACGCAACTGATTTCAATAGTTAAGCCAAGCTAACAATGTGAAACCAGAAACCTGTAGAAATAGACATGATTGAAATATTAATAGAATACACCGTAATGTCTAAGATGGCGGCTGTAGGAATGTAAGTCCTGCCTTTCAGTAAAAGAGCAAGGCTGTGTACAAAATCACTTACTGTCTTGAGTATGTACTTCTTTTGATTAAGTGCTTAAAAAAGTATGTTTATGTAATCCAGACATACTACATCCGCCATAGAGCCCTAAGTTTTAACAATGCCAAGTTTTCATTCCCTGATAAAATGCAATCCTTTGGATAAAAAGCGTCTGGTTTTGTGTTGCGAGTGCAATTATGACCTTAAGATACTGCCTATGCTGGCAGTTCACTAGGTTTTGGAGCAGATCTACAGAAAGATTGAGGCTCACTGAGGTTTTTAGAAGTCCCGGGGTTTGAATTGGTGCCAAGGGCTGCAGTACCTCTGTTTCTCTTGTTCGCTTCAGTTTTATTTAAAGACAGAAATAGTGACTTACGCAACAGGTAAATAATTTGTGGAACCAACAAGAGCAGAGCCAGAGTGAGAGAGTGGTCTATTTATGGCTGTAATGTCAGTGTGGCCCATGAGAAAGCTTTTACACAGTGTGTGTGTGTGTGTGCGCATGCTAGAAAGAGCTCTAAGTAAGAGTACATCAGTGTTTAACCTTAAAGCTTGAGCAAATCTCTCTCTCACACACACATTTAGCTAGCCATGGAAATGAGGACATACCATAGACTTCTATTGTTTTACATACAGCTAATAACTATAGACTGACCCCATTCTGAAAAACGGTTTAGAGATAAAATTGATTAAACCAGAATAAAAACAGCGGCAGTAACAAAATGTTTCTTTCTTAAAAACTTTTTTTTTCCTAATATAGAGCCTTCCACGATGTCTCAGAGCGATGTTTTGTCAGATTTAGCTAACTTCTGGGACCGTTTTGTGCCCAAAGTTTACAAAGTTACGCACACACGTTTACTTGGCTGACTTTATATGAAGCTAATTATAATGACTAGCACAAAGCCCTATAGCAGTTTTGTCCCCAAGGTATGGCTGCATTAAATATAAACAGTTGAATGTTCGTGGGACAAATGAGCTGCAGGCAGTTATTTTCGTCTCTTCTCTGATATCCAACATCCAATAAACATCTTAGAAGGAGCTGGTTCACATACATTATTAATCACAGATGTCAAAATCCAATAGAGATTATTTTAGTGATGTACTACAGAAGAGGAAGCATCCGGATGTACAGTAAATACTGCATGTGTGCTAAGAAGGGGCGGGGTTTTTAGTTGACTCTCAATTACTGTATATCATATCCAGTCACAGGCCTATTTGGCATATATATATATCTTAATACATCATATCTTATCATGCATTTTTATGAGCTTATATTAATTGACATGGAAGGACTGAATATTTGTTGTTTAAAAAATGCAGAACTGCTAAAATGTGGTTAAAAGTGTGAAATAGTGACCAGTTACAGCATCAAAATTATACTTTCCTTTAAGAATATCGATTTTTATTTAATCAATCTGAATGGCTTTGGGATGGATGGATGGATTGATGGATTTGTGTCTTTTTGTGTCTGTGTAGTTTTGTCCAGGCTGGCGGGGTCCAGAGCGCTGCATCAGATGGAGTCCAGACTGAACACAGTCAGCGCTGATATCAGAGACATCACCACAGCTGAGCAGGGAGTCATCAGAGCTCAGGTGTGTGTGTGTGTGTGTGTGTGTGTTTGACAGAGATGCTCATATGCAGGGTCCAGAAGTCAGTTTTAGTCACACCTGCCAGCGTTGAGTGAATTGAGACTATTTACCTGACATGATAGTCATCAGAAGACGTGTGATTGGCCACAGATACTTTCTTTAGTAGACGATTTATATATCTTTGATTTAAAATCACTCTTGCCTCTTACAGTAAATCAATGAGAGTTAAAGCCTGTTCACACCAAGGATGATAACTTTAACGATAACTATAAAAATACAGTATTCTAAAGGTGTGAAATTTCACGAGAAATATAGGTCGATTGTCTGTTGTCAGTATTGTAGTGATGAAGCACAGCTCACACAGAAGTCAGCTTCAGATCAAGCAGCTTTCTGATGGATAATGCAGTGAATCTGCGTGAGCAACCTGAACCTGGTGCAAAATCTGCGTGGGGAGATCTTTCGCCCTTATTTGAAATTCCTGATCGGGTGGATTCCTGTTGAAATCACTGGAATCCATCCATGAAAATTTGCAGAAAAATGGTAAATGTAAGCGTACCTGAATTTTGTGAGACAATGCTGTTCTGAAATGAGGAGACAAATTCTCCACTAAATTCGTGTTCCAGTTACACTTAATGTTGAGACACTTTCCAGGTCAAATAAACATTGCTTACACTCTATTTTGTATTTTTACATTAACAATATAATTAAAGGGGACATCGGATGCAATTTTCACTTTTTTTGCATTTAGTTAGATTTCTGGCGTGTCTGTCAGCTCAGAAAAGCTGAGAAGAAAACCAGTTCGTTATGGGTTGTCTGAGTCTGAAACTGCCATCCAGCGAGCTGTTTCAATCTGCAGCCGGTTTCTACGTAGATAGCTAGCTATTTGAATAAGACCACCTCTGAGCCATATACTGAGTCCAAGGCAGCCTTGTGTCCACATGCACCACAGAAGAGAGGGGTGGGGTGAGCAGAGCTCATTAGCATTTAAAGAGACATGCACCGAAACGGCTCGCTGTGAACAGAGCGGTTTTTGAACAAGTGTGTTGTTTTACACGACCATTGAGGAATTTTAACCAAAGCATGTTACAGACATTTCATGAAGACCCTAAATAATCATACCAACTTGTGGAAAATGGGCATCCGAAGCCAGTTTTCCTCTCGTGTGGCACTTGACGAGGAACCTGCTTGTTAAATCTACGTCTGCTTGTTGTGTTAGTCTAGCATTGTGCGATATGTTGATTCTCTGTTTGAATCTCCACTTGATCCACGTGTTCAGTCCTTTAGCTGACATTCGCTGACATGGGTTTCTTTCTTTAACTCCATGAATGATGGGAAGAAAGCCAACGACTAAGATGGCAAAACAAGCCTAAGAGAGCAAACGCTGGCTGGGATTTGTTTAAAGTTCTATAAATATTTATCCTCTGTTGTGGTCATCTCTTGGCCTCAGGCAGGAGAGATGGGGTGCGCACCGGGCACTGCCCACGTGGCACAGAAGAGCTTCACAAACAGCCAAAATATGACCCTACGTCCACTTATGTAATGTCTGTCATATACATATCTGACTGTGAGAAGCAGAAACTCCTATTTTAGCCGTGACTTCTTTCAGTGGGAGTGAAAGTGATCTTTGGAGGTTTTTCGGGTGGAGTTGTGTCTCCATCTACGGGTGTGAATGAAGTACTGCACTCTGATGATCTTTTACAATGAAACCTATCATGATTATATGCATAACGGTGAATGATAAATGAGGAATTTGGTAGAAATGAGTTGGTAAACGTTTGTACATTTTCAACAGTAGTTCATGAATGTGTACAGTAAGCATCGAAGTAAAAACATAGCTTCCTAACACTTTGGACACATGTGTACACATCAAACATACGTTTTCAAGCATATCCAAAACCAGCATATCCAAGTCTCAACTGTATTTGCCATGTCATAAAAATACACTTAACATTTTAGTGATTTATTTTTATTTTAAATGTATTTTATTTTATTTTGTATTTTTATTTATTTATTTTGTATTTTTATTTTTTAAATATCTGATATTTTAAAGAGACTTGCTAACCTTCACACATAGTCATGATGGTCTGTAATGAGATTTGGTATGTATTATGGATTTCTTGTCATGTAACAATA